TGTGTGTGTATTGGCATAAATATTTGAGACAGTTGGTGCTGGCATGTGCATAACACACATACACACACCATGAATGGTGCTGGCATGTGCATAACACAGACACACTCACACACATACTCTATGTTCTTCATTTTCGAAATGCTTAGACTCTTTGCAAATGAATCAACATTAGTAAACAGCCCCATAAGAATGTGTGTGTGCATATGTATTTGTCAAGTTTTTTTCTTTCAAAATGCTATTCTATTTTGGACTGTTTGGGACTGCATTCTGTGATGGCCTTATATAGTACATATCAAGTGCTATGGTGATGGCCTTGTGGTAATAAGAAACATAAGTTGAACTTAAACATAAGTGTTATTCTGTTTTGGACTATCTATAAGAAACAGAAGTTGGTTAAAAAGATCCGAGTTAAATCATATATTGAAAATATAAAAAGGTAAAAAATATMTGAGTTTTGGTGTACTAATGGTGATGGCCTTATATTTAGTAAAGCTCYAATTTKATGATCCATTTCTGCTGATGGCTTTCTTGAATCTTGGGTGGTGGTTGTTATCCATGTGGGATTGAGAAGATGATGATGCAGACTGTTGTGTGTGTGTGTATTGTACTTTAAATAGAAAATAACAACCCACCCTGTTCAAGTCATCTCTAAAACCATTAGATTCTGTCTTTTTTGGTTCTCTTATGTGAATATGTGATGATCCTCTATATACACACACACATATATTAATCTGTCTTTCAAGCATTTCCACATGAGAATATTGTGTATATATAGCATCTTATTTTACAATGGACCAAAGTTTACAGCTTTTTTTGTGTTCTTGAATCGTTTTGTAGGTTCTCGAATATAATCCATCTCAATCCATCGCTTCCATTCATCTTCCTTCAACCTTCAATCCATCGCTTCCATTCATCTTCCTTCAATCTTCCAGGTAATTACTCATATGGATGCATGTACTTCTTCATGTTCTTATGCACCTTATTCATGATCTGATCTATAACCATTCCCTGCCTGCTGTTTGACATACCTAATTAACCATTCCCTGCCT